CAGCTGGCTGACTGAGTGATGGACTGGCTCGGCACGACCCAACACAGACACGGACGACGGCCCAAGCGAAGCAAAAGGACAGCGGCGCGCTCTAAAGAGGCGGAGCGGGTGAGGGGGTGAGCGTGGGAGAGTGGACAAGTGCCTGCCAGTTGGCGAGTTGGGCGTGCCAGGGTGCAGCCGAGCGTGCCGTGAGCGTGTGTGCTGTGTGTGCTGTGTGTGCTGTGCGTGCAGTGCGTGAGTGACAGCAGCAGAGGACGAGTGAGGCCAAAAGCTGAGCGCGTCGCCGCTCCTCGCCAAATGCTCAACCACCACCGCCTCGCTCGCGCCACCCTCCCAAAGGAAAATTCAAATTTTATTCAACCGAGCCAGCCAGCCAGCCAGCCCGCCATTCCGTGGGGCTGCGGGTGGTCCGACAAGAGCGCGGCTGTCGTGGACCCTCTCTTCCTTTTCTTCGGTGGTCTCGGGCCAATCAAGGCCGTTCCCACCAGACGGCGGCGCTTCCGACTTTGGCTGCTGATCCCCCAACGTTTCAGCCGATGGTATGGACACTGCACCTGCTACCTGGTCTGAGAGCGAATCGAAGAGCCCGCAGACGGTGGGTCGCGTTGTCATCGCACGCTTTCCGACCGTCGACTTCAGCGCAGGAGAGACACGCAGAGAAAAGGGAGGCGGTCGCTGAGTACCACTCAGTAGCTGGACCCTAGGGCGCGCGCGTGTGTTTGTTGATCGCTGCAGTGAAGCTGAGGCACGAGGCCAGTCAAAGCTCAAAAAAAGCCGGAAATCCACACCTCGCGAAAAGCAAGAGAGAAAGAAAAATAAAACAGGGAGCAGCAGCGCCCGATAACGGGCATGCAAACCGCCAGGTCGGAGAATCTACCGCAGCGCGACAGCCTAGGCAAGCTCGCTGGAAGCCACACAGATTATTGATTTGTCGCCTTGCAGGTGCGCGCGCCCATTGACCGGTGCACTGCTGCAGGCCAAGAGCATCCAGCCGCAGTCCGGCACACCTCGTCTTGCCGCAGCTCTCAACACCTTGATTCAGCATTGCAGTGCGTCGAGTCGCGCGCGTGCAAGG